GCAAATTACAGCCAGATTACAGCTATTTTGGCTATATTTTAGCTTTTATCCATGCGTATGAGTGGTAACAATTTACGGTGTACGTGCATAATAAACTTCCCAAATTTTCTAAACTTTTGCAAGTCGGTCAATAGTCTTTTTTCAATTTTGAAACTTGTCACCTATTCACTTTTTAATCCCAAAAGTAATAAAATGGCTGAGGTTTTGACTTTTCTTTATAGTTATCGTAATGCTTTTACAACTATTCATACAGCTAAAATAGCTGTGGTTAAATTTTGGCTTTTGTTATTGCTGTTACAGCGACTTTATATCAATTAATACAGCTGAAATAGCTGTAGCTGAATTTTGTCTTTTGTTATTGCTGTCACAGCGACTTCATACCAATTAATGCAGTTAAAATGGCTGCGGCTAGTTTTGGTTTTGCTGATAGCTGTCACAGCGACTTTACAGCTATTAATACAGTTAAAATAACCGTGGCTGCATTTTGACTTTTTTATTAGTTGTCACAGCGCTTTTGCAGTTAAAAGTTTAGCAAAATAACATTTGCTGTTAAATAGCTGTAATTAAGGCTAGCAGAACGTTGTACTAACTATTTTTGCTGTCGCAGCAAATATAGCCAAACTGTGTTACTTGGGTTTGGTTACATAAAATGCATCTGGAATGCATTTTGGCCACCTTAAATATCGAAGCTCATGCTAATCGCTTACAATATTTAAGGTGGCTAATAACGGTCAATATTTGGTCAAGTATTTTTAGAATTCTGGAAAATCTATACTTAAATTTTTTGTATTTTTTATAAAATACAATAAACTAATTATAAGTTAGTTAAGATGTTAATTTTTATTGCTTTTAATTTGTAAATTATATGTAACAGACAAAATATATCGTCTTAATTTAATCGCGCTGCGTAGGAATGCACGTTAGCAAATAGTTAGATCTTGAGAAATATGCATATTTGCAAAGTTAAATATTTTTATACACCATCAAAAGCATAAATTAACAATTGTTTAACAACACACTTTTAATGTAAAGTGAGCAATTGCATAAGATTAAATTTGTTTGTCCGAGCGTTTGAGTATATTAATTATAGAACAAAATATTAATAAGACAAACTTTGACATTCACTGCAAATACATAACACTGACAATGCATGCAATGCGCGTCACAAAAATAGATGGAGTACATTTAAATAAAATTATTGTTAGAATACAATTGTTGGCAAGCTCTAGCTGGTACAAGTCGTCGTGTCATACATCGCTTGATTTTTTATCTTATTGCGAATACGTTATTAATGAAATTTTGTTTTGTTTGATAACTTAATTTTAGAAGAAAATTTGATCTTTCTACGCATTTCTATTTTATACTTAATAACTTTAATACATAAATTTATGGGATTAATTAATTGATTAATTAATTAATTTATTTTATGGGATTAACTACAAGTTTTCAAGATTTATATTTTTTAATTAAATTATCAATTGGAAATTTATTGACTTTATGTCACGATATTTTGTGACTTACTGTTAGTAATTCTTACTAGCCACTTTTACTGGTTAACGATATCTGCTTGTTTAACTCAATCTGAAAGAAAGTGTTGGTCGCTACGTATCTTCGAATGATACTTATTACCGACCGTGCTGTTCGAACCAATTTTTCAATTATAGATTCATAAACGTCGATGCATGTATAGAAACGAAATTGCATTGGAAAAGTTCTTAAATTATTTTTATTTTTCAGAGATCCAATTTATATTAGAATTTTTTTTATAATCTTGTACTTTCATATATGTGTATAGGCTTTTAAAATATTACAAATATTTTTCTTAAATAAAAATAAGATTTTTCTTAGCATAACGTAGATGTCTCTATTTTTTCTATACAATATATCAAAATTTTTTTTTACCAGTACTTTTACCAGTATCATAAAAAATAAAAATTTACAGTTTAAAAAAATTAAAAATATTTTTCAGTATAAAGTTTGTGTATATATCTTTTTTAATATTAAATTGATAATTTTTTAATGCAATATAGAGAATTAATTGGGATTTTGAATATTTTAAGTAATTTTCTTGGAAAATTGAAAATAATTTTACATTTTAATGAAAAATATATTTGTAGAATATTTTACCATGGTATACTTACTCAATTTATTAAATATTTTATCGAACAAACTTTTAATATGTTTTTATTTAAAATTTAAATATTAATAAATAATAAATAAATAAAATAGCAAAGATGTAAAATTTATCGAGTTCTCGAACTTGCCCATACTTACCCAGTTTCCTCTGACAACTTACAGCATTATCTATAATATTACTTTGTAATATCGAATGGAAAACTTTTAACGTTTGATTTGAAAAATTTGCATTATATATGTATATATTTGCAATATGTTATTGCAATACACGGAAGCATGATAAATTTTGATACGTTGCTGCGCGAGATTCGAAGAAAAATTGAAAATCGGAGAAATGATTGATGACTGGCTCGGTGTTATAATTTCGATTCGATATCTGAAGCGATATCTCAAGCGTTAATATTTTTTTTCTTATTTTTATTTTTCGTGAACTCAAACTGTTACCTATAGCTGAAATCAGCCGTGACGTATATTTAAATTGTATAGGAATTATTAGTTAAAATTTAATTATAAGATTTATAATGTAGTTTAATTAGAATTATTTATATAAGTATAAATTCTAAGATTAATATATCTCAATTTGAATGCTGATTTAAGTATAGTTTATTTTTTTATTTTTGCCGAGGAAGAAATTTGTCAGTCTAAATATTTAAGACATGAAAATAAGAATATTAATATCAATTTTCAGTCACAAAAATTGAATTCTTTAAATTCAATTAATTTGTTAGCCGCGTGTCGCTCCTCTTTTTGGGCTTTCCAATCGTCGTTCGACGGCGAAGACGAGACGGAATGCCGCCTTTAAAAACCAATATCGACGATGTCTCATCTCGCGCGTTCGGGGAGAAGCATGATAAATGGTTTTCCATAAGAAGGGAAAGCGGCAGATGCTACGGTTTAACTAGTTTTTCCAACGCGGTTTTTTTTCAACCAGTCTAACCGTCGTGTTC